ATTTTAATATACCTACTTTTTTATTTTCTTTATTGTACATTTATACAACACTACATTTACTCACCATAATTTGAATTTTCAAAATACATATATTTTTGTGTGGAATAAAAGTCTATTCATTAAATTTAAATAAATATTTTGATAATAATATTGAATAATTTTATTTGAATTACTAAAAACCCTCTTAACCCGGTTATGATGCTTAAAGTAGCCTCATGTTTTGAAATGCTGTTTTTATATTGTTTACTTATAAGAGAAATGGACCGAGAAATTGAAGCGGCATAGACAAAGACGGATTGTCGGGGATTAAATTTTAGCTACCTGCTACAATTTAGTACAGTCCGATCGCACAAAGTTTTGTTAAAAGTAGACCTCATCTATACGGAAAATACATAATATAAAAGTATTGAATATAAGCACCAGCACTACATTTATTTACGATTTGCATACATAATGAGCTTTTATTATTCTCTTTCATTTCTAAACAGACTATAGTGGATAGCAGAATTAGTGATATGCGGTTGGTAGCATTGCGTTGCGCTTAACCTCTTCTGTGACCACATGTTCTTGGATTGTTGATATCTCATTTAGTTTATATGATTTTGTTATTTCAGTGCAAAGTGTTCAAGTGTTCAAATGTACTATTTTCTGGAACAACGATGCAACATAAAATTTTGCATGAAACTGGGGAAAACTTTCACGGAAACATTTCAAAAAAGCTTACGGAAATGATGCTCTGGGTCGTACGCAATGTTGCGATTTGAAAGTGGTTGTACGTCAATTTAAGATGATCCTCGACCAAGAAGGCTTTCGACTTTAACTGATGACTGCCACATTCAGAAAGTCAAGGATTTGGTGCATGCAAATCGCCAATTGGCTGTCAGAGAAATTGCAGAAGAGGTTACCATTTCAATTCAATGTCATGAAATTTTGAATGAAAAATTGAACATGCATTGAGTTGCTACAAAATTTATTCCTCGTTTGATGACCGAACAACAGAAAGAAAATTCTGTGTATGTCGGTAAGTCCTTGAAGATTATTCCTTGTATTTTGGAGAATTGTACAGACTTTTACGTCCTGTGAGCTTTTGTATCTGACACATGACGTTTAGTGGTTTTGACCAGGGATTGTAAAGATACGGCTACAGGAATAGAAATGAAAAGAAAAAGTCGTGGAGTTATGCGGGTATCGTTTACGCGGGTGTTGAAGAAAATTGGCTCAATGTTGCAAACTGAGAGTCCTGATTTCCGACAAATAGATGTTTCTTTTGAAATACTAGAAATGAAGTTTGAGGAATTAAAAGTTGTGGATTCCGAAACATACGAAGCGATCCTGGAGACGACGAGTGAAGAAGGATTACTGCAGGAAATAGAAGCTGCTGACGACTACAAGAGGAAATTAATTCTGCTGCGTTCTCGTTATGATGAGTTCGTGGGAAAATCCAAAGGACAGCCCCTCTCAGAAGCAAGGTCGGTTCATCATGATAGTGCTTATTCAGTAATAAATGAAGTCGTCGGTACAGGTACGCGTAAGTTTAAGTTGCCTAAAATAGAATGTAAACGGTTTGGCGGAGATATCAAAGAAATTCGCGCAATTCAAGAAAATCCATGAAGATCCAGACATTGATATCCATGATAAGATTGAATATCTAGTACAGGCCATTGTTGAGGGTAGCAGAGCCAGACAATTGGTGGAAAATTTTCCGGCAATGGAAGATTGTTGAGAGCATACAGTCGAGATTTGGTCAGAAAGATTTACAAATTCAAGTTTATGTTCACGAATTACTGAAGCTCGTAATAAATAATGCAATTGATCCCAATAAAATATCACTTTCTGCTTTATATGATCGCATAGAGACACAATTAAGAGCTCTAGAAGCATTAGATATCACTTCTGAAAAATGCTCCGCGATGCTTTTTCCGCTTATAGAATCCTGTTTATCCAATGATTTATTAAGAACCTGGCAGAGATCGATTTCACTTTAGTTCTTTGAAACATTATACATCTCGCGATTGTGTGTCACAGGATGAAGGCGATAGTACTTTAGAAATTCGACTTCAGAGTTTAATGGACTTTTTAAGGAACAACGTGCAGAATGAGCAACGTATATCCCTGGCTGCTGAAAGTTTTTGTTTGTCGTCAGTTAGCGGAATTATCGACAGTGACGTGAAAAAGAGGAGACCAATTAAGAGAGCTCCTATACCTACTGCTACAGATTTGATTAATTATGAGGCCGCTAAGTGTGTATTTTGTGAAGGTACACATGCAAGTGATTCCTGCTTTAAAGCCCAAAAAATGTGTATTGAAAACAAGAAAGAATCTATGATGAAGAAGAGTGCTTGTTTCCGATGTTTAAAAGTAGGACACTAGGCAAAGAAATGTCGTACTCGTTTGCAGTGCGTCACTTGTGGAAAATCTTGATGTGTACTGATTTAACAGTGAATAAGCTGATAATAATACACAGCACTGTTAATGGAAATTGTGCTAAAGACAATTCCCTGGCTAACTATTCGACTCCACTGGTCTTCCTACAAACTTTACGTGTAACGATATAAGTAAATTTGATTATAAGGAAATTCGTGCATTAATTGATACTGGTTCAGAACGTTCTTATAACGAGCGTTCAAATAAAAACGTGGTCGAAGTTGGCTCTGACACATTGGACGTAGAGAGTAGCTTATAGCGACCAACTTAACCTCATTTCTCAACGAGCTGCATAGCAGCTGTCAGTTTCAATAACGTTAATGACTATATAACTTTATTTTAAAGAATAATCCTGATAACAATAACAAACAATTAAAGGAGCTGCGGAAAGTGTCCCCCTCCTTGTTATAACAATAAATTAAAACAGCTGCTGAAAGTGTCCCCCTTCTTGTTCCAAGCACTTTTCACACCTGTTCCTCAAAGAATTAAAGACATTTTCTAAGATGCTCGGGGTATTGTTAATTTCACGAATCTTGTCTATAAGTCGAGCCTGCAGATGGTTTAAATCAGGAATAGGCAGTTCAAAAATAGTGTTTTTAAGGTAAGGCCACAAAAAGAAATCACACGGCGTAATATCACATGACCTCGGTGGAAATTCATGTTCAGCATTGAGACTTATTAGTCGATTTTGGAAAACTTCCCTCAACATATTCATCGTCTCGCCTGCCGTATGTGCCCTTGCGCCATCTTGTTGAAAGTAAAAGTTTGTAATTTCGTTTTCTTCCAGCTGGTTAACAAAAGGAGCGATAATTTCTTCTCTATACCTTTGCGCAGTAAGAGTACCATTAAAAAAAATAGGTCCATAAATCCTCCTTCGATTGAGAGCACACCAAACTCCAATTTTTTGAGCGTGTAGAGGGCCCTCGACAAAAAAGTTATCTGGTTTTTCAGAAGACCACATTCTCATATTCTGTGAGTTTACGTAACCACTTAAATGAAACCAGGCTTCATCAGAAAAAAAGGTGATATTATGAAGTTCACCGTAGTTGTTTAAAAACCATTCACAAAATACAGCCCGTCGCGGAAAATCAACTTCATGAAGTTCTTGCTGACAAGTTAAACGATAGGAGAACAAACGCAAATCTTTTTTTAACACTGTGTGGCAGGTACCGACTGATACTCCCACCATTTGTGATAAAACACGTACAGAAGTTCTTGGCGCATTTTCCATTATTTGTTGGACATTTTCTTTTAATTCTTCAGTCCGCTTTTTAGGTCGGCCGCTTCCTTCTTTTCTTGTTACACTGCCCGTTTCACGAAAAACATTAACACAACGCTGAACTGCACTTTGAAAAATTTTGTACTCAACAACGCCGGGAAATTGATTTTGAAATTCTATGAAACATTCCTCAATAGAATACTTCCATATTCCATCAATCTTGCGTCCATTTCTAAAGTAGGACTCTATGATAAACACTTTTTGTTCTTGAGAAAACACCATTTTAAACGCTTTTTAAAACGAAAATATTCAAATTGATAGCGGCGATATAGCGCTTTGACAGATGACGTATAAGTTCATTTGCTATACGCTACGCCCTACGTCCAAATTTTCAGAACCAACTTGACCACGTTTTTATTTGAACGCTCGTTATTTTAAAGTCGACTGTTATGGAATTGGGATGTTCATCTAAATCTACAGAAAAAATCATACATTGTCTTTTTGGTGATACCGAAAAAGTAAACAGTTACCAATGTTTTGAAATTACAATCGGCAAAGAAAAATACTCATGTGCTTTTGAAGTTCTTGACCAAGACATAATTTGCAAGGAAGTATGTCCTATATCCCAAGGTCCCTGGATAGAAGAAGTTCGTTGTTTAGGTATTCAAATATCTGATGTAAATAATTCAAGACCTATCGAACTTTTAATTGGAGCGGATGTGGCAGGAAAACTTTATACAGGAGGTAAACAGACATTGTGGTCTGGTCGCAATTGAAACAGCTGTAGGTTGGACGTTGATGGGAAAAGTAATTTCGACGGTTGCTACGATCAGTTTACTGATCAGTCTATTGATCAAAGAGGCTGCTATTGTAGATTTGTGGGATTTAGACACATTAGGAATAAATTAACCAAGAAACAAATGGGTCAAAACATACATATCCACCGCCACCGCTACCGCCACCGCCATCGCTACCGCGTATGTATGCACAGGCCTTATGATTAAATAACCGCTGCAGAATATCCGATCGTCTATGTTGACTACATAGGTAGTAGTATTCGTTCACTCTTTAAAATATTTTTATCAAGTATATTTAAGTAAATACAGTAACGCAAAAAACAGACATTGACAAAAATGTGTACACACAGTAAATCCGTAAGTACACGTGACAACATAGCCAAACCGTTGTTTATATGTTGCTAGGATACACGTAAGAATACGGGTCGCTGCATTTGATTCTTCCTAAAATTCTGCTGGTGGTGTACTCTATCGGCAATTCGGAAATTTAAAACTGCTGGCCTATTCCAGTAGCGGTCTGTGGGGATAGCTATTTTGTCTGTGATAGAACCCATCCTTACCTTTTTACAGTAGTTAAGTATGTCCATCTTGTCTTTGAAACAGGTGGCCTTGGAATAGAAGTCAGAGACCCATTCGCCCTCATCGTTCATATGCTTCGGGTGGTAGGCCTCCTGCCCGTGGGGCCCGGCGTCGCAGAGGAGAGCCACTTGGGGTTCGAAATGGGAGACGGAGCCGCCACTGCTCAGAGCGTTATCCGGTAGGCCCTGTAAAGACAAACAAGAGTGAGTTGGGTAGATCGATAGTTTGAATACAAGCAGGCGGTAGGGGGGTTTGTTTGTAACTTTCAGTCATGTTAATATCCTTAGGGACATGTCTGATTACTTAAAAATCAATATCTGCCTCTTTGATTAAAATAGCGCGACCCACGATTGAGCACCGTTACGACTGAAACTACAAAAATATTTTGAAAATTTACGTTAATATACAGCGCTATCCAAGAAGTTTGTATCATATGGGAATAAACTTTTTGTATAAATTCAATAAATTCCATCGATTGTCAGTTGTCTCTGCATTTCGTCAAATCGAACCTCATAAAACACGTGTAAAGAGTAAAGTACCCTTATTTATTGACTATTGCTTGTTTGATTTGAAAAATATGACAAAGAACCTTCCAAACTATTGTTATTAGGCAATTCTAAAGAATCTGTATACACCGTGTCCACCTAGTGCGCGTAAGTCTAATATCTAGGTTAATAAAAGATATAGGTAACTTAATTTTTTTTTCTACAGAGTTGCCTACTTTCCCGAGCTGCACAAAATGAAAATATATTTGCATATAAAGGGTGTTCAGTTTTTCCTGGGCTGGGAACAACTTAATTTTTTTAAATGGAAACCTATATTTTTTATGGCATTATCGAGTTCTACGTGAAAAATTAACGGGACTTGTGTTATGATCCCTATTAAAATATTGATAGTTTTCGAGATAATCGACTTTTCATTTTTTTTCTTGTTTCGTCACTTCTAGTAGTTGACATAATTATGATTGTATGACAGCTAGAAATTATTTTTTTTTCAGAAACTGTAGAGTGAAGATGGCTCTTTCAAAAAACGTATCAAAAGTTGAGCTGCGATATACAAGGGGCAAAAAAAATTGTGCCAAACCTGATAATTTAAAATTTGAAAAATCTCGACTTTTTCAAATAGAACACCCTGTGTTTTATAATTTCATTAGATGCCTTTCTGTAGACCCTACAATTTTTTAATAGCTTTTGCAAAAAAACATTTTTATGTAAAATACCGGATTTGCGCCCGTTCCTTTGGCTGTAATGTGATTATTTTATTGTTATTATACTTTTCTTATTAACTATTTAATTTTTAGGTTAGAGAACACCTAAATCACGTATATCCAAACCAGTGGTTAGGTCGTGGTGGTCCAGTTCCTTGGCCCGCACGTTCACCTGACTTAAATAGTTTGGAGCGAGTATACGGTAAGTACCACCAACAGATATTCAAGACTTAAAAGAAAAGATTCAAAACGAGTTTCTAACTATAACGCCTCAAATGTTAAGAAATGTCCACATTCATTTTCATCGTAGATTAATGCTTTGTGTAGAAAACAACGGTGGACAGTTTGAACATTTATTTTAAGTTAGCTTGCGACTATGAGTATTCCTTCTTCAAAATTCTATACATCCAAATTTTTTAATCTCCGATTTCACTAATAACTTTCCTAACTACGGTAACAGTGCTTGATTTTCAATATGATACGGATGAAACTTCTTCTTCAATATTCTATTTGTCAAGCTTTTGAAAACTCCAAGGATACTACTAATTTCTTGGCACTAATATTTGGATTTTCAACAGCAGACGCCACAACTTTAAACTAAATATTATCTTCATATCTTTCATGTCTCCTGGTAGTTTTCTCATAATTCGCATTTGCTGTTTATTCAAACCTTTCCTTCAGATTTTCAAAACAGTTGGAATCTCTGTAAATTTGGATTATTTGCTTTGTAAATACGTGCTGCTAGCCAGGGCCGGATTGGCAATTTTTTTCGGCGTGAGTTCGATTTTTCATATCGGCCCAGTAGTGGCTTTGTAATGGCGCCGCAGGCGAAAATTTTCAAGGTTCAAATTTTCTCCTGGCACCTTAAAATTTCAATAAAAAGTCCATTTGTACAAATACATAGACTTACACAAGGATAATTTTTGGAAAAAGCATTAGAGAGAGATCATTTATCGGATAAAAGCGGATTTTTAAGTAAACCCTGCCCACTAATAGCAAATAAAAACGAAAAAAAAAACACTTAAAGAAATTATTAACGTGTTAATAAGCAGTTATGCCATAAAAATTTCAAGAAACAAACAAAGACTAAACTAAAAGAAACAACCTAAATACTAAATAAAGTTGATTCAATACAAAAATGCCTAGTACCTAACTAAAATAATAATAAATTTTTAAGGCTGGATTATTTTCTAAATCTATAAGAATATCCTTTTCTACAGACATACATAGAAACGCCTATAAGTGCTCTTGCGACAAGCAATTTCTTAATCTATTTAAAATATATTTTAATTTGGAGAACGTTGCCTCGCATCTGACTTGGGTACATGAAAGTGTCAACAGATACTTATATACCCAATATAAGTTGGAGTATGCCAACGTATGTAGCCTATACTTTGTCAGCACCGAAAAATAACGAAGTTTTGGCAAGTCCTCGTGCATTTAATTTCTGAATTTTGACCTTGATTATTATTATATTATTTGATTATATTAAAAACTTAGAGTGGTATACACTGGAGCTAACCGGCCCCGGAGTGACCGGCCCACCGAGTTTTACTCGGTAACTCGCCGGCCCAATCCGGGCCTGCTGCTAGCAAACATTTCCCATATTTTGCTAATCACTTGTAGCGATTTTATAGTTATTTTTTTATTTTATTTACAAATAAATGGTAACTTTCCATAAAGACTTATTTATTAAACTCAAACATCTAAATTTTCAGTTATTAATTTTTATTTTAAATAGTGTAGCTGGACAACTAATAAATTTAATAAAAATAAATACCCTTACAATATTTTTCCCGACAAAGGAACGGGCGCAAATCCGGTATTTTACATAAAAATGGTTTTTTTTGCAAAAACTACGCAACTCAGGTATAGGGAAAGCTATTAAAAAATTGTACGGTCTACAGAAAGACATCTAATGAAATCATAAAACACAGGGTGTTCTTTTTGAAAAAGCCGAGATTTTTCAAATTTTAAATTATCAGGTTTGGCACAATTTTTTTTGCCCCTTGTATATCGCAGCTCAACTTTTGATACGTTTTTTGAAAGAGCCATCTTCACTCTACAGTTTCTGAAAAAAAATAATTTCTAGCTGTCATACAATCATAATTGTGTCAACTACTAGAAGTGACGAAACATAAGAAAAAAAATGAAAAGTCGATTATCTCGAAAACTATCAATATTTTAATAGGGATCGTAACACAAGTCCCGTTAATTTTTCATGTAGAATTCGATAATGCCATAAAAAATATAGGTTTCCATTTAAAAATATTAAGTTGGTACCTGCCTAGGAAAAACTGAACACCGTGCATATGCAAATATATTTTCATTTTGTGCAGTTCGGGAAAGTAGGCAACTTATAGAAAAAAAAAAGTTAATCTTTTATTAACCTAGATATTGGACTTACTCGCACTAAGTGGACACGGTTATTCATTTTGTGAGTATAAAAAAAGCTGAAGGAAAAATTATTTGTAATACAAATAAGGAAATTAAACTTTCCTACATGGTGCGCTTTTAGAAATAGGCATATAAGGGCACATAAACATTTTTGAAAAAGAATTGAATTTTTTTTTAAACCATTAATTGTTGAAATAGAAAATAGCATTCTTGTCATGGAAATGATATTGCAATTCGAAAGGAGAACAAAGAAATGAGGTCGATATTAACTTTACTTATAACCGGAAGCAAAAAAGATTAGTAAATTATTTGATTGTGTTTCTGCCGCTGCTAATAGTACCTAACCCACAAAAATTTCGAATTTTTCCTATACCGATTTTCCCTGACATCTATCGCTAAGTTCACTGTAACACACCCTGTGCATGTTTCTGTACAATCGCGTGTTTCTTAAAAGCCTGCTACTTTCTCAAAAATAAGCCATGGAAAAATTTACCAGCATGTAGTTTCTTATTTAAAATATGTACCGTTCTGCGAATCATTCTATAAAGCCTGTATATGATATTCCGACAATAAATCGCTCGTAAGACATTCTTATCGCTTGCACTCGTCCCATCCAACAAACAAATTGCGCTACTGCTTGATTTAACAAGTAAAAATTGTAGCAACACATAAGGCAACAAATCAGAATACTATCTTGTCGTGCGTTGTCTTTTTTGGTCTGCTTTCGTAAGGTAGCGACACGCTGTTTAATACATTGGATGGAATATGAATACTTAAATGTCAGAATGTGTCGCTTCGCTTTGTCTTCAGTAACGTTACTCGACAAATTGTAATTTATTTTCTCACAAGATTTTTAATTCAGGACACTCAACATTTTTTTAAGACAATGGACCATTTGGAACAAATAGAGAGTGGTAGAAATTTTTTATCTCGCGATTGTTTTCGTATCTTATGGCTAGCTCTAAGTAAAACTGCTACGGTTTTAAATTTAGTGACCTAACCCGTTAGCAAATACGACCGTTGATGCCAAATGATCCACCAAGAAATTAGTAAAAGACATAAGAATGATCAAAGAAATAAAGAAAGTTTCCTATATCTCAAAAAACATTTGCAGACATACCTTCTAAAAGAATTACCTGCATAATTTTATTGGAATATCTGTATATAATTTTGTGTACCAATTTTATTTACTTTGTGAGATAACATTTACACTAGGTAAATGTATTTTTTTGCAAATACTAAATTTTATTAACCCAAATGAAGAGGTACATTTTCATATAAATCGTGATATTTACCTTTCTAACATTACAACATAAACTTTTGATATTTTATAGTCAATTTACAAATATCAATTTAAACATTTTTATTGAACTTTGTCGTAAATTTGCAATTTGAAAATAAAATCCCTTAAAAACGTATATGGCGCAATTTTGCTGTTTAATAGCAAATACATGTTGAATAACAAAAAAGTAAAACCAATTTTGCGATATGTATCTACCTAATATTGAAAATAATTTTTTCCAGTATACATTAATCCCAACATATTTTTTCTCGTTAATGAAGCTTATATCATAACATTTT